TTTTAGATCATAGGAGGGCCGGTGGAGTGAAGGACAGGGTTGTTCCTACTTGGTGAAGCCAGAGGGGTCATGGGAGAAACTAAATGCACAGAGAGGAAAAACTGAAGGATGCAATTAAATTTAATCCCAAACTGAAGACTGGGGAGGGCTCTGACCCATTTAGCATCCTTCAAACCTATGTATTTCTTGCTGGGAAGGGACCAGAGTGTTCCCTTTTCAACTGGGGGAAACAGAGAGATCTCCTGCAGAACGCATAGAAACACAAATGTTTCCCAAAGAAGCTGTTCAGTGGTTATATATATATATTCAATATATACCTATATTGGTACCAGTGGCCAGCTGGAATTGGCAGGCTTCTGCAAAGCACCTTCCAGGTCTTCAAGTCTATCCCAAGGTTTAAAATGTATATGATCTCTTATCTCTTGTATACTTAGCACAACATCTGGAGATAGTTTGATGACAGATATTATCAGGGACTTGATCACAACCCAGATTTGACCTTCTGATGAAGATAACCTAATTCATTACTTAATGACATCATCTTTTGCTTACTGATACTTATCTTCCCCTTTCAGAGTAGGGAGTACATGTTGTTCTGAAGTGATTATACAATCACAACATACAATCTGTAAGGCTTGTTAGGTTTAAGCATGGGTATGGGGATCCAAGCATGGGTATGGGGATCCAAGAAGAGAAAAAGTGGACCACACCACTATGCCTCCTCTCCATTTCTTCCATGGAGACACCAAAGGATCCATGGTCATTGCAGCAAAGCTGGTTGTCACGATGTAGCATCAATTGTAGACATTACATTTTTATTCTATATATCTCGAAATAAAAGCATGGATTCTACCTGTACTAGATTACAGTGTGAGGGTCACACACTTCTTGGGGAAACAAATTCTGTTGTTGAGTGTAGTCATGGTGGCACATCCATTTGTTTGTGTACAATGTGTGAAATAGACCTATCGGACAAAGGCATTGGAGAAAGGCCCACAGCTGAAACTGAGCATCCCAAACTCTTTCCTTCTCCAGTGAATGGCAAGGTTTCCTTCTCTCCCCCCTCACTAACATGGCTCACTTCAGCCATCTCAAGATTGACAGCTGATTCCCACTTGTGGAATCAACATGTTGAATGACACCCGCATGCATTGGGAAGGAAGATGAGGTCACTGCATACGTGCAAGTCCAGACTTATCCAGGGAAGACAAAAGGGAAGTCCCTCCCGTCTCTAAAGAATATAGCTTTGAAGGGGGAAGAACAGAAAGGAGGTCCTGGAGGGGAGCCTGAAAGAAGGGGGTTTTACCATCAGCTTGGATGTTCCAGAAAAGCTAAAAGCAAGTCAAGGTAATATTGAACCAGGACTGGACATCTAGTTCAAGGAACTATTGGGTAGATAATAGGTAACCAAGTTCAGCTGGACATTGCAAGAGGAAAGCTGTGTTAGTTTATGGTAGTAAAAACCCAGGAGTCTGGTAGCATCTTTTCCAACTTATACATTTTATTAAATGATAAAAGCTTTTGTGACATACATAAAAAATAGCCAGAGCTTTGATCTCACCATCATGGCCACTGTTTTGACCTTTTTTTGACCATATGCTATAGACACCCCTGTTGCTGCTGCTAGCTTTGGATGAAGAGGGGTAATGTTTTTATGTTCTCTTAAATCTCTGAATTACTTCCTCTTAGCCTAAGCACCCATCCTGGAAATATTATGCCTTCTTTTTTTCATCTCATGTGAAAAATTGAGGCTTTGCAAGCTTAATAAGTAGCAAATAATGGGTATTATGACTAAAAAACCAAAACAGAATCCAGAATATATTTGTTTTAAAAATGTATATACCACTTTTCAAGCATGTGAGAAGGCAGGGAGAAGTGAGGGCCTCAAACGAACCATGTTTGCTAGGGGAGAGCGCTGTGCCCCATGGGGCA